CTCTCTCTCTCTCTCTCTCTCTTTCTCTCTCTCTTTCTCTCTCTCTCTTTCTCTCTCTCTTTCTCTCTCTCTCTCTCTGTTGAATCCTTAGGCTGTAAAAGATCATTGTAAGAAAGCTAACAGAAGATCGGTAATTAGATATTGAAACAAAAGGGATGAATAGGGCTACATGTTGTTTTCTTTGTCTGTATGAGAATAATGTACAGTATGTCACAAAATCTCTACACTCAGGTATAATCACATGGTTGAGGGTAAAGTTTTTTGCCAATCTGGTTGTCAAGATTGTCTGTGGCTTTAACAACATTCTTCAAGGCACACTAAATTGTGTGGAAAAATTAATACCATGCATTCTGATGCAGAGATACAGCATTCCTAACTTTACTGAAAAAAGTATTTTATCATACTTTCGTAAATAACACATGGGAATAGGGATGCATTGCAAACAGTGACTAAAATTACTGAACTAGAAGTGCAATCTCACAAACAGTTGCTCAAGAAAAGAAACCAGTGTGTTAACTAACCCAGTGGTTTAGGTGGTCTGGGTGTCTCAGGTTAAGTAATGTTATCTATGGCAATTTTAAGGCACTCTAAACTGTCATTCATTTTGAATGTATAATTTCCAGTTATACTGGAATGATTTTCTTATTAATCTTTATAATCAGCAACAGGGTCATATATCCACAGATTATCACTTCAGTTACAATCATAATTTTTATATTACTAATAGCATCTTTTCTATTGTTCATTCTTGATATAAATTTTGTTGTTTTTTAAATTCTCTCATAAGCAATGTTTACGTTCTCTCCTATACTTGTCTTTCTGTAATTCCTCTGTTTTCTTTTACTTTAATTCTCTTCTCTCTGTCTTTATCCATATTCCTTTGCCTTTTCCTTGGTCTGCATTTTTTTTCCTCCCCTTTCCTTTGAAATGCCCCTTGTCCTCTCTTTCTGTTAACGCTGAGCTCATGATGCAAAAGCTTTCCATTTTTGGCAGACATTAACCCAGTGCCGATAGGAAAATATTGTGTCCACTTTATTATTGTTTTCTTAGATGTTTCTTTACATATTTGGCTCTACCAGTGCTTAGCCACAACGGAGTCCATTAGTAGATTTTGTGACCTCGCCTCTCCTTGAAGTAGCGGGAAAATGCCTTTTTTACTAATGCTGTCAATATTGATGCCGTTATTTTTGTTATATACATTATAATTACTATATTGTTATTGACATTAGCAAAAGCAGTATTAAACACTTGAAAATTTTATCTCAAATGAAGGAAAAGGGTACATGGGTGAGACAGGTAGTATTTGTACATTGGTGACTTCGCACTGGTGGAGCCATCTATATGTAAAAACAATTACTAATTTAAACACACATTGGGCATGGCATATGCGCACATGCCATCCCTGACTGTGTGTGGTTAATATCCCTGTGAGGAGCAGGGAATGATGGTATAGATTGCATTGCCCTGCTTATTACAGCTGTAGTTAAGGGTTGACTCAGTTCCATAGGGAGGGAAGAATATATTATGAAGAATATATTGTATTATAAGAATATTCCTCCTCTTCCTTAGCTCATGTATCAAAATAAGTTTGCACTACCCTCTCACATTGGCAACCCGTAAACCCTAAATATTTACTTCTCCCAGTTTGGCTTTTTCTCTTGATTGTTTGTGCTTCTGTTGTTGCTCCATTTCTTCCTGTTCCCAGCCCTTCTTTCCTTTCTTCCTTCTCTCCTGCTCCTCCTGACTGTTCTTTCCTCTTTTTCTTCCTACTTCCACCTTTCTCCTCTCGCCTCCCGCCTCCCTCTTTTTCTTCATGCTTTTTTCTTCATATGTTCTTTTACTACTTGTATGTCATTCTCTCCTTTTAAGTTGAAAGTGAATAGAAATAATTATTGTTTATTAAAATTATATAATTATTTGTATATAGCAACATTTCAAAATGGATTATACCACTTTCAATTGATATGTAGTGCCAGCAATATTTTTTGTAAGATAGAGTTGTAATAACCCAAGATGTTCAACGAGATACTTTGTTCCTGAAGCAAGAAATGACTAAATGTTCTCAAATGTATTAGATGTAGCTAAGTGTATGTGCAGCTTGGTATTCTATTCCAGCTTTCTGAATCTTGAGAGTTTGTGAATGCATAAAAAAAAACCTGAAAAGCTATTTATCGATATATGTATTAGAAGTAAAAATGGCTATAGGGGCTTATGGGGCGTAGGAGTGTCACTCCTGATTTTAATCTTTCTCTTCCTCTCTCATTCCAGACTGAAGAACTTTAGGTGCCTAGAATAACTTTGCCATTTATTTTTCCGTTACCCCATGAGTTTAACCCATTACCTGAAGGAGAACCAGCTATTCACTACCCAGAAACCCACTGCCACACCACACCATGAAAGAAGAGATTTCCGCAGCAGTTCTCTTCATCTCCAAGTTAATCAGCCGAAATGAAAATGTAAATGACGAGAGGATGGCCAAGTTTGAGCAGAGATTGGGAGAACTGTTGCAGGAACGGTTTAGCAATCACTGGCACCCCGAGCGTCCCTGGAGAGGTCAAGGTTACAGGTGTTTACGGTGAGTCTAGCTTGCAGTTTTGGGGAATGGACATGGCTTCAGAAATCCAGAATGTTGTGATTTGTTGGAGCTAATTAGATCTTATTTTTTACTGAATTTTTAAGAAATTATAGTGATATGTAACAGAGTATATTCACATTAATTAATGTATTTAGTGTAATATATAGATTATTTAGATATGCAGATTCATGGTTATACAGATCAGTGGTGTATTAATAACCAGGATAAGAATAGGTTAGTAATAAGGGATTCAAGTGATTTGGTAATAGTATCCATAAACTTAGATGTTCCTCTTCACTGTGTTGAGATAACTGATGATGTTTTTTATGCTACCCAGAGTGAATGAGAATTCGAGAAAAGAGCCGACGATAGAACGCGCAGCAAGGGAAAGTGGCTTGAAGTATGTGGACTTGAATCTTCCAGTTGAGTTAACCATATGGGTTGATCCTGAGGAAGTGTGTTGTCGGTTTGGAGAACAGAAAGGCTCGTGTTGCACCGTTGCTTCGTTCAGGGAGGGAAATAAGGAAAATTACATTGAGAAGTTTGACTTTTCCCAAATTGAACGTCCAAATTCTACTCCATCGGGCATGTCCAAGGTTGGTGTTGGATTGGTGTTGTATTTAGTTCATTGTTGACATAGATACTTATGAATATACAGTTTTAAGGAATCTACTGTGGTAATAGGAAAAATATATTTCAAATTTATCTTCTCATGAAATGTGGGTGCAACTCTATTTGTATAATTATCCTCAGATTGCATATATTTTCCTTTTTAATTTCTTTTAGCCATCGGAAGTACTGAAGGAGAGAACCTTCAATACCAGCAACAACATGAGTCCTCCATCAAGTACCCAATCCACACCCACCAAGAAGAAATCCTTTAGTCCAACTCATACAGGGTTTGGTTTGAAAAACCAGACCTCTCCAGGTAGAAATAACATGATGAATAACCGTGATAGAAGACCCTTTGGAAATCACCATAATCATTATAGCAACAACCATCAAAACCACCACAACAGTCACCCCCAGAGTGGATCGTACTCGCCACCTTTCTTCAAGACGCAATCATGGCTTAACCTGAGTCAGACTCCCCCACCACCTCCTCCTCATCTGCCCCTCTTCAGTTCTACTGGTTTCATCTACCCTCCTGCAGCACCTCCACACTACACCCATGCCCACACTGGCCCCCATTTCCCACGCTCTCCTCCAAACATGGGTCCCCAGAAATTCAAGTGGAACAGCGGTAACTTCCCTCGTAATGACCGGCACCAATGGTTTGGCCACAGAGCTTTGGCACGGGTGTAAAATTGATATTTTGTCTGCGGGGGGCACTTGGGGCTTTTGAGAAAATGGTTGTTGGAATGAGCTTACCTACTGGCTTAGTGAACATATCCTTTATAGATATTACCATGTGATAGATATAGCATTATAGATATTATCTTAATTGTTGACTAATTCACAGTAGATCGATCTCACTAGAATTAATTTCTCGATGTTTTGAGGTAGATTTTTGCTGAACTGTTAATTTGGATGCACCAAAATAATGTGCTTTTTCATCCTTTTTCTTTTTTTTTCTTTCTTTCTTTTATTTTATTATAATTATTTTTTTTCTTCCCTCCAAGTGCCCCTTGTGATATTACCCAAAACTGAACACATGAATATTTGTATTATATGCATGTGTCTGTGGAGGGGAGGAAGGCACCTTGAGCAAGTTCAGTACAGATTTAAAAGAATTTTGAAAGAAACGACTGGGCTTTTGAGTATTAATGACATTTTTAACTCTTAAATAAACAGGTGAGGATTTTTTTTGTATTTTAGAAATTTGAGGCTCCGCTATAGAAGAGTGATAGTTGATCTACAAAGTGCATTTGCAGAGAGTAGTATACATTATAGCTTTATACCAGGTGGAATATAATCACAGGAGTGGTGCTCTCAGTGTAAGGCTTTAAGTTAGGAATTCTCTTTTGGATAATTTCCAAAAATTATACCAAGGCATGTAAAGAGTTTTAGTTTGGAAAATGCTCAAGCGTGCCTGCTCAACTGTGATTCCATAGTCGGCCGACCCTTGTTACACAGAGTTCAAAGGAATACGAGTGAGGCAAGACCTTCATTTACCTTCTCATAAAGCAGGTACCTGCAGTTTTAGGAAAGGTCCCACATACACACACAAAAAAAAAAGAAAAGAAAAAAAACCAATGCATCATAGATTCAGAAGTAATTTATTTAAATAGCACTATATACCTCATTGAGAATGGACCAGTATTTTTGGGTATTATCCCTGGTATTATGAACAAATATTGATATAAAAAAAAAGATAATGAAAAGATGCCCAGACACATTCTCAGGAGCTTGTGCACAAAACTGTAGTGATTTACCTCAACACCTTTACCTTGCTGTTTATAGCAGATTGCTTGATAAGGACAAATTACTAATGAACTGGAAATATGTTTATTTTCTGTGTAATAGTATGGGCACTTTCAGAGATTAAGACTACTTTGTCCCCTTTGCATAAAGTGTCGTAGATTTCGTCATAGGTAATTGTGATGATGCATACTATGATTTGCTGTGTCTGTGGGACGTGCAGTAAATACTCTTATGAATTTTTTGCCATTATTGCACATATTATCAAAAACTCTATTGTTTAAGTATTACAATTTATGTATATAAATAGATATATATATAAAGTATATATATAAAGAGAGCATGATTGAAAAATATGAGAAGAAAAAAAAAATGTATGATCATATTTCACACCTCAGTAGTGCTAATGCTTTTTTCTGCTAGTCTTCTCTTCCTGCCCAACTATTTTAGTTGAAAAAACATTCATGATTCCCTGTGAATTCTGAAATGTTTGTTTTGGTGAATTGGTGCTTGATAATATTTCCCCCTAGAAATATGTATTGATTGTCCAGGTTCTTTGCAGCTAATCACAATATCATTTATTTAAAAAAAAGGGAATTAAAAAAAATATATATTTATATAATGGATTAGTTTAATTATATTTTATGTAATGATATTTGATAAAAGTAGTACTAATTAATGTGTTAGGTTCTGTGCAAGAGAGAGAAAGAAACATTGAACATTACGTTGTTCACTTTATGTTGATTTGGTAGATTAGTATTTTTCATTACCATTTCCGACAACCAAAGTTATGAAACTGACAAAAAAATATTCTGTATTACACTGACACACATTCATGCTCACACACACATAAATGCATACATTCTCAAGTTTTTACTTAGCTGTTGAGGTTTTATGCTTATAAATTTATTGAAGAACAGGAACTTTTATTTATATTTTGTATAGGACCCTCTGGTATTAGAATATAAAAATTAACAGATATATTTATTGTATTTCATTGTTGTAAGGAAACGTTGCTCAGAATGTAAGCTTAGTCCAGTAAACCTTTCACCTGAGGAAAACCATTAACAAACATTTCCCGTCCATTCATTCTAGTGGTTCTCATGGGCTTAGGCTTAGAATATTACTTAAGCGCATAGTCTTGTAAATTCCCTCAACCCTCCTGACCCCTTAAGAAATCCTTAGACCCTTTTCCCCACAGACCCTCACGGAATTCTCTGTTAAGCCTTGCCCTACAAGTGCCATATGGATGATCTTGCTTACAAAGGTGGTGTGACATGAGTTCTAACTGTTAAGTGTCGTCAAAGCACAAATTTTTCATAATTTTTGTTGTTGAGAATTGTTATTGATGAATAGGTCTCTCAACATATTGTGGAAAATGTACAATAGTTCTCCCCTTTTCCCCCCTGAAGGTATTTGTAATTATCATTGCATTGTATATGTAAATGGTAGTTTGATAAGGTACCACACTTTCTCACTGAGCAGTTAATATTATTCACAATATCCAGATTTATGGTATTCGAGGTATTGAATTATTGTATTACACATTTGTAAGGAAAGTAAGAAATAACATATTTTCTCCCCCCCCCCCTCCCTTTAAAAGAATTTTGCATTGTTATTGATAGAGGATTGAATAGTAGGTTTCAAGTATTTATTCTTTTTTGCCTATGCTTGATAATGCACAACATAGATGTATAATGTATTTCAAATTGCAACTTTTTTTGTTTTCATTTTTTTCCAAAATAATTTTACAATCCCATGTGATGATGTGCATTTTGAGGCTTCATCAGTATATTGATATGTGTTCTGTCTGCGTAGTTAGAAGGGCCTCCCGTTTTCCATTGGGACCTGCACCTCGCATCCCAAGCCTTTAGGGTGACGTGGGTGCTGCGAGAATTGATTATGGTAAGGGTTGGGTTATTCTAGTGGAATGTTGTAGACCCTATGTTTAGTTAGGAAATTTAATCGGTGGATAGTAATACATAAACTTTGAAAAAAATATTTTTGAAGGTTGTGTAAAGGAATAATTCTAGCAAAAATATCATTTTAATATTACCCATAGTGATACTTACAAATAGACATCTTTGTGGTAGAACTCGACATTTTCTTGGATTTTGGCAAATAATTGTGTTAACTTTTACCTCTCATAAGATGTAATCTAAAACAGAAAGTAATATTACAAATAGTACAAAGTACAACTTATTTATTGAATTCCAAGGAAGATGAACGAGATTCTTCTTGAACCCTTTTTCAAGCTGTAGACCTGAACATAGATAAGACTAACATAGTATTAAACATCAATATGAAGCTTGACATGGGAATGATAATGTCCACAGTTGTTTCTCTACAGTTAATATGTTGTTGAATTTCAGTATTTTATTTGGTTCAAGATAGAATGTACTAATATTATATAGTTAGTCATAAAATTGCTATTATGAAAGGAATAGTGTGTAAACTTTATCCTTTAATCTTTTCAAGGCTGCATAGGTATGTCTGTAATGCAAAATTTGTATCAGTATCTAAGCCTGCAGTAACTGCCTGTTACAGTTCTTGCAAAAGTGGCACATACCTCTAATGTCATGTTGTGGTGCTCGAGTTAGAGGTGTTGTTCTGCTTGTACTCATCTTAATCTCCAGACATTAGGTATAGTGCTTCGTGTTTTGATTTCTGTATTTTACCATGTAATATGAATGGTAATGGCTATTATTTCAATTTCTTAAGTGATTGCATCTCTGTCCTGTGTAATTGCTCTGATTACCAAGTCACTCTCCTAACATATTGGCTTTTTGATGAAGAGGTACGTTTTGCTCAAAAGTGTTCCTTGATGTTTGGTCTTGAAATATTTGTATATTACTCTGGTCACAAGTTGCATGCCAAAATATTTGATCATATATCTTTATTTACCAACTAATAAGTGGATCTTTGTTTAGAAAAGAGTGCCTGTTTTGTTGATTTGGTTTGGCAAAGTGATTTACTTTAAGTGTATGTGATAGTTTTTACCAAGAGCAAAACAAACAGAAGGAGTTGGCCTTGTAAACTCCTGGGGGTCGCCTAGTGTGACCGCCTGTCAGTGTAGTTTACTAACATGTACTAACAGATGCAGGTTGTTTGCTGATTTGCCAGTACTAACGGTTACTAACATGAATTTATCTCAAATTTCTCTGTTGAATGTGTGTGTAAGTGTGTGCTTAGTTAGACATCAGATTCAAATTTTGATTGTGGATTGTAAAAGTTAGCTATGAATTATTGATTTCATTCTTTTGTACCTGTTTTGAAAATGACTAGAATTATAGGGACCAAGGTGATCCATTCTCTGGTAATCAGAGGCGAGTTTGCTTGCTGTTAAACAGTGGAGATAATTCATCCTTACCAGTAATCACCTGATATGAATAATGGCAAATAGCGAGTGTTTTTTTTTTTTTTTTTTTTTTTTTTCTCTCTGTTGGTGGATTAAAAAAATTGTGAATAGGAATAAGAAGCTTTTGTTTTGCTCTTGGGCTAATTCCTTCCATCCAGTATTTTGAAATTGTTTAATTTGGGCAGTTTTGTTCTGTCTTGAGGCTTTTTGTAGTAACATGCATATCTTTTCTGGTGAAGGTCCAAATGATAAACATGTTTACATGTTTTGGAGGCTTACGTATGAGTAATACTTATGTACCAGGATGTACGAGTAATAACATAGTTATTATTGGTATGGCATTGTACCTGTAAGACAATTTATGCTTTACAGTGTTTTGGTGTTTCTTTTTTGTAGGTTTTCTTTAAGACTTGTGCCAGAAGCTACAGCATTTCCTTTTCTTTGTTTTATTTATATCTTTATTCTTATTTCTTTTCTATTTCTTTTGAGGTAATTGCAATATTCTTTGGTTAAATGCTTTGCACTTTTATGATTCTTTTTTCATCCAGATAAAATGTGATCAAGTTCCTTAGTTATATTTTTTCCAGATTTATACTAGGTATTAAAGTCAAAGTCAAGCTAAAAAGTAACATTTATGAATTGGGTGCTAGAAAAAAAGTTTGTTGAAGGCAGAAAAGCTGTTCTCCATAGCATTTAGTGTTGTAACAAAAACTTCATGCAACTCTTGAGTTCACCTGATGTATTAAGATATGTGAAGTATCCAGTAGCTGTTAACATGACAGGTAGGAAGCTGATAGGACTTCAATATAATCTTCCTAAATTCATAGATATGTTGTTTCCTCAAAGGTATTACCAATTTTATTTGACTTGTTTACCATATTTAACTATATGTTCATGTTTTCATTGTGAACACAAGTGTTCTCAGTCCAATCCAGCCTCTCTTAATGTTGTATTATTTCTTTGAAAACAATAATGTACAGTTATTTCTTCTTTAAATAGAGAATAGGTCATTGTTTACCTTTTTATGGTTTTCAGTTTTGCTGTTTTTTTTTTTTTTCTTGTGTATATTCAGTTGAATGATTTGTAATAATTTGAAAACAAAAAAGTTGAGCATCTCTTTGAAACATTCCATAATGAGGGTTGTACTATCCTATATGTAGATGCTATTTTTAACTGAATGAATGAAATGTATATAGGTTTATTTCTTAAAGAAATTGTGTGTATATACTGAAGTTATTTTTTCATATTTTTCTGTGGCTCATAATGTGTGCTGAAAGAGGTAATTTCAGGGGCACATGGCTTATTTTCGACAACATTAACTTGAATTGTTATATTTGTAGATGACGGAAAACTATTTAATGGTACCAACCCCTGTAGTGCTGTTGTTTTAACTCTAGTCAAAAGTTCTGCTCGTGGTGCAGAGTTCTCTTTTTGTTAATCACTTTTAAGAGGCTGGTATGCCTACATTGTAAGGGTATTTAATGAATTTCTGAAGATAATATACCAAGTTGGTGGATAACAATTTTGTGTTAATATCTGAGGACCTGTTATGTTTTGAATGTTGATTTTTCATAATTTAACTAGGAAGTCTTTTTTTTTACATTAGTATTTAACGCAAACTTATAAATTACTTATATTTTTATTTAGAGGGGTGCAATGTTGACTTGTTAGATCCTTATTGTCAAATGAATGGATGCTGAAGAATATTTCTCTATTCACTGATTTAGATCAGGTGAACTCGTGAGTTAATGATATGGTTAGTAATAACTGCTGCAAACTGTGACATTGATCAATAGAAATATATTCCAAAAGGAGATTAATTGTGCAGCATTTGAGACAGAACGAAATTACTGAAATATGATGATAAAACCTCAAAAGGTTATCAAAGATTGGGGCCACAATCTTGAGACTTTGCAGGTATGCTGTAGACTTCTTCTTGCTCCCTCTTCAGAAGTTAATGTTATTATTGATGTAATAAAGGAATGTATTTTAGGTAAATAGCAAATTTTATTATATTCTCAGAAAATTTTAATTGTACAGTTTTTATTGCATTGCAAAAGAGTTGTTTTATTTCACCCAGAAATCACCAAGTATTTTCTTGTTAGAACAATGATAATTGCATTGAAAAAACATCTGAACAGAGAAAAGTGTCCAGATTTTATAATATCTACACAAATATTGTCAAAAAATATTTTCGGTTGAATGAGTAAGAAAAATTGACCATAAGAGATATAATTAATACATTTTGATGAAAATCTTTCCTAAAACACAATTCTTATGGATGATTTAATTGAAAGTCACAAATGACATCTCTTGGATTGATTAAGTCATTCCAAGTTTTTACCTTTGAGCATATTTCAATGACGGAGATTTGTAAGGAATAACAAATATAATGTCCCTGGTGGTGTCAGGTCATTTGATGTTTAGTATGTAGAATAGATATGGAAAGTAGTTTGAAGTATGAAAGTCTGATTTCTAAAAAAAAAAAAATAATAATAAAATAAAAAGTCTGCGCTTCATTTTTAGAAGAGATACATTTGGATACTGCAACAATGAGCAGGACTTATTGAAAGTGATGAATAAAGACCTACCAGTCCAAAAACAGTATAACATTTAATATCAGGATGATAAGACCGACACCATACCAAATGTATCGGTACAAGCAGAATTAAAAAGGAAACTCATCCCCAATCCCTTGCCCGTTGTTGTCGTGGGGGGCTTAGGAGACGGAGACTGAGACCCAATGCAGGGATCTCCCCTGCCTAGGGCCTCAGCCCTCGACTCAACTAATTTTGCATGGTCTTTTCCCCCTCCAGCTTTTGTTCATCTCTCCCTTCTACTATCTACTTCCTAAGGTGTGAGAGCCGTGTGAGAGAGATGAAAGGCTGACCTAGTGCCAGTCCTGAACGGCCTGCGGGAACTATGGGCACGGTACTCCTCCTGACTAATCTAGCCCTTACCTTTCAGTGATGGAGGTGGACCAGTTGAATGGCCTTTTATATAATCCAGGTTCCCCATGACCAGTAATGAAAATGTAATCCCTTTATTAGAGGCTATGAGGCTAGCCCCTTTATCAAATAGCCCCAACCCAGGCTCTCCTTTGACCACGGCTCCGAACACTGAAACTACTGCCCACTCCTCAATGCCTACTAGTGCATTACCCACCCAAGCAGAGAATCAATCTCCAGAAGACATTCCTACCCACCCAACTTCCTCAAATTCAACTCCACCCCTGCAACCTTCATCAAACAACCAATCCTCCCTTATTACTACCTTGCAACCTTATTCTCCATCATTCCGTAATACTCCCTCTTCCACACGTCCCCGACCATCCACCACCACCAACCCTACAGATATCTTAAATACTCTGTTTAGCCCAGCTAAATGGGACCGATTTTTCGTGATCCCTGCTACAGCTCCTTACTCAGGCAACACTCTTCTCTTTCAACAATGCCTCCAAAAACAAGTAGGTAGAGTCCCTTTCTATACCAGACGCGATCGCTCCCGTCTTAACAGTCAGATCAGAAACTGAATCTATAGCACTGTCAAATTTAACTGATCATTCTGGCAACCCCATTCCTGCAGAACCTCATCCAACCCTTAATACCTGTACCGGAACTGTCTCTCTCTCCCCAGCAAACTGCCCAGTCGATACCAAAGATTGGTCAGACTGTGGAGAAGACTTATTAGGATGCCTCAAAGACCAAGATGTGAAATCAGTACATTGCTACACCATTCCTCCTAAAGGTCAACGAAAGAATCCGACCAATATTGCCAAAATTACCTTCTGTACACATGACCTTCCCTTACGTATCTACATTGGTGGACAATCCCTCCCTGTTCGACCATACCAACCCCCTCCCGTCAATGTCAAAACTGTTGGCGCTTTGGACATCCTGCCAAACATTGCCGTTCCACAGACCGATGCCCCATATGTGCCCAACCTGGTCATAATCGATCAAACTGCTCAGCACAAACACGAACATGTGCTAACTGCGGCGGCCCCCATAATGTATTTTATAGAGGCTGTCCCACTTACAAATTTGAATCTGAGGTAGCAACTCTCAGATACAAAAATGGTCTCACTTTACGTGAAGCCAGACAGGAAGCACGTCGACAAGGTTTCTCTCATACTCCATATTCTAGCAACATCGTTCGCTCAGCCCTTCCCCCTCCACCCAAAATGTCCCCATTTCCACTTCTACATTCTACATCCCTCAGACCAATTCCTTTGCCACTCTAAACCCAGACACCCCAATCTCAACCACAGCTCCTATCTCAACTACAGCCCCAACACCAACCCCTCTCCCTCCCCGCACTACCCGCAGTAGACAGACTAAACGTTCTAACCCTTCTTCCCCTACAGCACAATCACCTCCACCTACCTATACCTTTGTTCCTGAGACACCAGTCTCCTCTTCCCCCCCTCATAAGAAAACCTTTATTCCACAAAACTCTCCAACCAATTCCATTGCAGAAACAATTACCTTCTCACAAAACTCTCCAACAAACTCCACTGCAGAAACAATGGATGACATTCAAAGCTATATGCTTGAGACACAAATCCCATAACTCATGCTCCTTCCACACTTGAAGTGGTTGCCGATATTCATACCCCTCCTAATATTCCCCCTACACCCCTTCCTCCTACTCCCTCAACACAACCTAACCCCCTCAATCCCACCACCGATATCCATCCTCCCAATACCCATCCTCCTGATATGCATCCCCCTCTTACTCACAGCACCCCTACACCCTTCCTCCTAATCCCTCCCAAGACAACACATCCCCTTCAACTCCAACTATCCATCCTTCCGATATCATCCTCCTAACACTAATACTCCCCACATCTACTCCCTCCCAACACAACCCACCCCCTTCAACCCCAACTATAGGCACATTCTCCCTCCCTCCATCCCCTCTATCCTTTGCACTCCCTCCGGATACACACGAGAATCACTCATGTCACAACAATGCCCTTCCCCAAATTCCCTACCTCCTAATACCCCTCCTTCACACCCCCTACCTTCCTCCCCAGATTCCCCAATACGTACATATGTGATATCACTCATAAGCTATAGCTCTCCTACATTGGTCCTCTATGTAACGTGCCTCTTTCAGTTCTACACCATTCTCTTGTCCTGTCACGCTTAAATACAGCACGTACCTCTGCTTTTCCACACCTATCCTCCCTTCGCCGACCTCCCCAACATATCAGACATCCTTATGGAATCCCACAGCTTCTACCTTGACAACCTGTTCTCCTTCCTCAGATGCATAAATATCCTTCACTTGATCTAACTCCCTTACCTAAACCACCATAACCTTTTCCCCCATCTTCAACCTTTCAACACTCCTCTAGATAGTTGACACATAGCAACTATCACCTGACATACCCTTTACTATACCTTCCTATAGTGCTATATGACCTTAGATGTCTAGCACATTTATTTTAACCATTAACCATTAACCATCAACCCATTCTCCAGGAAACGTTCCTCCTCTTCCAACATCCCCCACTTCACGTCCTTACAGGTAGAGAGGATTAAGGTAATATGTAGAAGGCGGGCTTTTTACTGAACAGAGAGGATATGATCTCGCCAAGATAGCTTGGAGTCAAAAATATTAAAGAAACTTGCCAGAAGATCGGAATTGGATAGGAGTATCATAAAGGAGGATTGGAGGTTAGGAGCCTATACGTGAACGAGAAAATAGAAAGTAAAAGGTTTTAGAGGTAGAAGATCAAAAGCCGTGATTGGTAGCCCAAGAAGAGACTGATGCTATTGATGAATGAATAAGTAGATGGAGAACTTGTATGGAAGGGCCTGAGGCAAAGATGGCTAGATCATCGACATATAATGATGACCAGATTCCTGGTGGTAGAACTGATGACAGTGACAGTGTAGTATCAGGAGGTTTATCATGGGAGGTGGGATCAGGGGAAGGAGGTGAAGGTATAGTATCTGGAGGTTCATCAAGGAAGGTGGGATCTGGGGAAGGACATTGTGATAGAAGGGATTCGTGTGTGTATCCAGGAGGGAGTGGTAGGGATAGTAGGGAAGATAGGGTTTTTTGTTGTGGGTGTGAGCGGAGGAGAGGATAGGGTATGTTGGGAAGGTATTGGAGAAAGAGGGGTAGGGGGAGTATGAGGAGGAGGAGGAGGAGGAGTAAGGGGCTGTTGGGGGTACTACAAAAAATTGATCCCATTTAGCTGGCCTAAAGCGTACTCAAAAGATCTGAAGAAGTGAGAACTGTAGAGGGGTGAAGACGGGAGGAGGAGGGAGTGGTGTGAAGTAAGGTTGTATTGTGAGGGTGTGGGCATTGTTGATTTATAATGAGGGAGGAGGAGGTAGAACGTGAAGATGATTGTTCAGGAGGTGGGCTAGAAGAAGTGAATGAGGATGAGATGTTGAATTATAACCTAGGTAGATAATTCAGGATGGGTCAAGTTGGCAGCATGTGTAGAGGAGGGAGGTGTACTATCAGTGGTCAGAACCATGGTCTAAAGGAAGTGAGGGAACGGTAAACTAAAAGTTAGATTCAGAGAGGCTAGGTGATAAAGGGGCAAGTCCCAATACCCCTAATAAGAGTACAGAATCTTCATTACTGGTCATGGTAAGCCTGAAATGTGTGGGGAAGGTAAAAGGTCCACCGCTCAGGGTCCCCATAAGGAGTAAGGGCTAAATTAATTGCCAGGAAACACTGTGCCCATGGCTCCCTGAGGCCGTCTATGACTGGCACAAGGTCAGCCTTTCATCCTTTCAACACCTTAGGAATTGGATAGGGGAAGGGAAGGGAAGAGAAAGAAAGGAGAAGACAAATTAGTTCAGGCAAGGGCTGAGGTCCAAGGCAAGGGAGAATGGAGAAAAAATGAAGAGGGCATCAGGGAAGGATTAGAATTATGCCTGAATTATGATGTAAGTGATCCTACATCATAATGTGTCAGTCCCCCCCCCCTAATCCTTTACTCATTGTTGTTGTAGGGTCTTTTCTTCTCCCTCTTTCCCTTTACTTTTCTTCTTTATCCCCCTCTGCCCACTTCCTAAGGTGTGAGAGCTGTGCCAAAAGGATGAAAGGCTGACTTTGTGTCAGTCCCCCTAATCCTTTGCTCATCGTTGTAGGGGGCTTAGAAGACAGAGACAGAAGCTCAATGTTGGGGAATCAATGTTACCTTAGACCTCATCCCTTGCCTCAACTAATTTTGTATGGTCTTTTCTTCTATACCTTCCTTTTTCCTTCTCCTCATCCCCTTCTTCTGTCCACATCCTAAAGTGTGAGAGCTGAGCTGAAAGGATGAAAGGCTGGCTTTGTCAGATCTGAATAGCCTTTCGTACTACGTTTGTTATTCCCTCTTTATCCTTTTCCTTCGTACTATGTTTGTTATCCCCTCTTTATCCTTTTCGCTACCACACTAACTAATAGTGCTCTACAACCTTTGACATCTAATGTATTTTGTCTTAATGGCTTACTCATTTTTACCCTTTTTGCCACAATACTGCTGTATGACCTTTGATGTCAGGCACATTTATTTGTTCTGACCATTACTGCTATATTTCATATTTCAGAGCTTGCTTCTTGACTGGCTTCAGCAGCATAGAAAACTTATTTACCTTGAGAAGACAGTTTACATTTAAAGAAGAGTAAATTGATTTCATCTTTATTAACATTAATATCTGTGGGCAGCATAAACATCTTTCAAGAATACACTAAATTTCGAGAAAGTAATATCTTAAAAGTATAATAAATGTATTACAATTTTTAACATATCTCTGCATAATTTCTAACATTATCTTATACCTTGTATGGAAATATCTCACTTTGTACTTGTACAAATGCAATACCCATGAAAAGGAATAAAAAATAAACAATCCCTTAAATATTGTACATGTAAACATTTGGTTATCAAACAGATTTCATTTTCTTGGTGGCAGGTTCTTCCTCCTCGGAATCTTTGTTATCTTGCTCTTGTGCTTCTTGGAAAATTGGATTTGGCTGATTTTTTGCATACGCAGGAGTAACCCAGTAAGGATTTTCGGCTGCATCTTTTGCATATTTTAGAAGTGCTTCCCTTGGGTCACCTTCTTCTTGAACTTTCCTGCGAAGACCCATATTACGGATGATGTATGAAGACAGGGTAGATCCTCCTGCAGACACTCGCCCTCCTGAGCCTGCTTTGCCCACAGGAAGATCTGGCTGCTGAGACCTCACTGGATCTTTTCTGTCCCGCTCCTCCAGTTTCCTTGTGGACTTGTGTCTCTCTTCACGGAACATGGGGAGGGCATGTGGGGTTATGATCTGTTGTGATACTACAACTTCAGCTTGCTTTGATCGTTTTTTGTGTTTGCCAGCTACTAGTACTGCTCCATTATGAGAAGTCTTAGGATCATATAATAAACGTACTTTTCCGTCACCACAACCAACCATGAGTTGATTCAGTCTTGGATGCCAAACTATTTTAACTACATGACTAGGACCCACTTCCAGCTCTTTAACAATGTCCCATGTATTACGATTGTACATTAACAGTTTCCCTGAAGATTCTCCCTTATTAAGTGATGTCCCTGTTACAACTAGCTGATCACTGGGGCTGAATACACAATCTGTCATACTGAATCTGTTAAAGAGCCCAGTTGCTACATGCACAGCTTGTTTTGTTTTACGAATATCCCATAGCTTCAGAGTGTCATCACCTCCCCTTGTTGCAAAACCTTTGTTGTCATATGAAAATACCAACCTTGAGGTTTCACTTCCCCTATCATGAGCATTTCTAACATTAATACTTACATTTACAAAAGTCTTTCGATGATCCCACATCTGTATTGATCCATCATCACAAGCACAAGCTACCAATATCCCATCACGGCTATAAGCACAAGTGGTGGGCTGTGTTTTCAGACCATTGGAAGCTCTTGCTTTGATGACATGTCTTTGACAATGTGGACTGCTTGTGTGCCAAATACGACAAGTCCCATCCCTTGCTGCAGTCAGAAATTCCTCCTTGTCTTTGGGATGCCAAGTTCCACAGGTAAGGCCTGCTATGTGCCCCTTTGTCTTTGCCATGTCATGTAAATACATATCTCCTTTAACACACTCAAATAACTCTATTCCATCACGGTCATATACTTTAGCTTGCTGAGACCCTGATACAACCAGAACTTTATCACCTGTACAGCTATACTCAACACTATTAACTGGGTAACCATCAGCTGGGCAGAATGATCTAAATGCTTCACGTGACTGGTCCATACCCTGAAAATCCCAGTAGCGAACATCATAATCCAAGCCTCCACTAACCAGCCTAGAGCCTGAGGGATCCACTGCTAGGCCAGAGACTGTTTTGGTTCCATGCTCAAGGACCAACTCATGTGAGATTGGCATGTGGCGCCTCTGTTCCTCATCATCCTCCACATCTTCAGCAGGTGCACTGCCCGATTTATCAATACTCATTCCTGGGGGAAGAGGAGGTCCCACAAAGTCATCATCTTCATCGTCTTCTGTTACAGCTGATTCTGCAGTCTTTGCTTTTGTAGACGGAGAGCTGTCAGGTTTTGCTGCATTTTGTGTTAGCAATTTTTCTGCAAGATAAATGGTATATGTTTGAATAAATAGCAAAAACTGCTTTCTTATTCTGCATGTAAAAGAAAGAAAAGAATCAAATAATCAAAATCACAAGAAGTATGTAAAAGGAAAATACCAAGTAATGATTTGAGAGAAGGAAAGGAGGCACAGGTTAAACAAAATAGGAAAAATAGAAATTAACAATACCTCCTTGTCCTCCTTTATATTACCTAACTGAAACTTCGGTCTCACAGGAAGAGAGAGAAAATTGAGAAAATTAGAAAAGAAAAGAAAGTAAGAAGAAAAAGGATGGCTGTCATATGAAGATATTTTGGGATTTATTTACATAGTTATGATAGTTGCTTAATGACACGTGTAAGAATTAGCCAAATCATGATGACACTGTGACAGTGGTTGAGTGACACAAAATTAAAGTAAACACTAGAGAACCATGATTTGCATGAAACCACATGGAGTGAGACTTGTCCTCAAATCTGGATGTGGGTGTGCAGTTACTATCACCGTATGTGATAATTATCATTATTATTATTACTCATTACTTATAATTAACTTATTATTATTGTTTTTCTGCAGTGCATGACATACATGTTCTGCCTTGATAAGGAAAAACAATTAATACCTGAAACTTGGACAGATCATTGCACATTTTATGGTGGCATGAAGAAGGCTGCCCAGACAAATGAAGCCAGAAAAAGGGGTCTAGTATGCCTCACAAGATCTCATGCCAATCTGTTAAACTACTGTTGTCAGGGATGGCAGATATGTACATGTCATGCCCACCTTGATTTTAATTTGTTAATTATTTATACATGGATGGCTTCACAAGTGCCTAGTCACTACTCCTACCTATCATCTTTTAACGGTTTTCCTTGATTTTTGGAAATACCATGTCAATAATAATAACAGCATTGATATCTAATAAAATAGAAAAAAAATCTCACAAATTCAAATTAAAGGGATTTCAGGTGAGGTCATGTAGGTCTACTAATTGACTCCTTGGTGGTTGAGCACTTGTGGAGCCATCTATGTGCAAACATATTTCACAAAACAGAACTATAGTGATCATTACATGTTCTTGGTGGCAGTGGGCTGATGTGTTGATTTTGTTCAAACATCATTCACACCACTTTACTTGAACAAAGACCTACCAGACCTAACTGGGTATTTCTGTTTTTTTCTACCACTTTTTCTAGTTAGAAATACCTATCTATCACTAGATTGTGAAAAGGCATCTGAATATAGCAAACCTTACACACTAATCTTACCTATATTTGTTTTATTTCTATCAATTGCAGACTTCCGTGTTTCTTCTACTAATGTGTCGATATCAAACTCCTTTGCTTTCTTGCCAAAACCAGAAAATCCCATCATTGCTGCCATCTCATCTGAAAATATATAAAAAAATAAATAAAATTAATAAATAATTTTCTACATGCAAAACATTTCTCAAAAATCTTTACAGCTGAATTCTAAAAAGTAATATTTACTGGACATTAAATTATGAGTGACAGAGATACATATTAAAACTAATCTTATCAGGGAGATACTGAAAAACAATCCCACAATCCCTTATGGAAAACATATGAGAGAGAGAGAGAGAGAGAGAGAGAGAGAGAGAGAGAGAGAGAGAGAGAGAGAGAGAGAGAGATTTATGAGAGAGATTTATGAGAGAGATTTATGAGAGAGATTTATGAGAGAGATTTATGAGAGAGATTTAAGAGAGAGATTTAAGAGAGAGATTTAAGAGAGAGATTTATGAGAGAGATTTCTGAGAGAGATTTATGAGAGAGATTTATGAGAGAGATTTAAGAGAGAGATTTATGAGAGAGATTTATGAGAGAGTGACCAAGCAAGTGAGCGAGTGAGTGAGAGAGAGAGAGAAGTAAAACAAACTTGAGTGATTGACGTGGGAGTGAGTGAAATGCCTGATTGTAAAATTAATTTTAGCTAGTGAAATTTAGATAGTGACAGTAACGTTAACAAAATGTGTATGACTTTTTTGACTATTTGACTTATGACTATTATAAGTTCACTGGCTAATAATTCTTGTGACCATCCCAAGGGCCTGGGCTAGATAATATATAATAAATCATATTGTCAATAATAATAATAATAATAATAATAATAATATTATTATTAATAATAATAATAACAATAACAACAACAACAACAACAACAACAACATTGATATTATTAGAATTAGAAAAAGAAAAAAACTCAAGGAAAGGGAAAATCAGATGGCTGAGCACTTGCAGAGCCATCTGTATCCAAACAAAATTCACAGAAGAAAACTACAGTAGACTGCATGTATAACTATCTGGCAGCAATGGGTTAACTCATATTACAAAGTGTACCTTCACTCGGCTTTTCCTGTTCCTTCTGATGCTGAAACTTTCCAAATGAACCAAAACCTCCACTTGCTTCGTTTTTCTCCTCCTTATTACTCGGTTCTTCTGGTGAAGACTGCTCTGGCTCTTTTGGCTTTCCTAGGCTTAAGCCTATTTTTCCAAATGATATCTTGCCTTTATTCATGTTGATCTGAAATAGAATGAAAAAAATTATAGAGAGTTTACAGCTTTTCTATTTGAACTTCATTAGCCTAGTAAGTTTGGAACCAGACATGTTATTATCAGAACTGCTGAGGCTTTAGTTAAAAAGGGGAAATAATGCATAAACTGTAATATATTACTAAGACACTTTTCAGCTATGACATTTCCTGCACATATTGAAGGTAAAAAAGTCCTCTTATACAGAATATAATACTCCGAACATGTCTCTGTCTGTTGCTGGTAAACATGTGCACTTGTTACTGGATTCCTGGATGTTCAATTACTCTAAGCCTATAAATGATACCCAATGAGAAATACCCTTAAAATAGGCCATCCATTATAAAGGATGATGCCCTCAGTATGGGATTTTGTTAAGTTTAGGTTTTCAAGGCAATTCTAAGCTGGTTCTTGTATTTAAATGTGTTTCTGATGCTGTACTGCTTCTGGTATAATATGTACACTGACAATGCAGGAAATACATTGCAATACACTAGAGATTTATCATCGGCATTATTGGAAAAAGGCGTCACCACTGAACTGACCAAAACTAACCTTATAGCCTTGAAGACATTTAATTAACAATTACTTTTCATTAAATAAACTTGTCTCGTAAATTAAAAATAACAAAGTTATTTAATTTTCGAAATAAATAAAAATAATAATAAAACAAGGTGAGATTCACATGGGAGCTGCAGGAATACTGACTAAATTCTCCACTGCATATGCGTGGGGTCTCTCGTACCCGCACTGTTCCTGTTATCTCGCCTGTGATGTCACAGCCATGATTTCATTGGTCAATTGTTTGATGGTCAATTTAATAGCCAATGGGGAAAGAATTCAGGAGGGAAACAGCCAATGAATGAACATTAGCTAAGATAGAAGCTATGAAGTTCAATTTTCAAATTAGTCTCGCCGTGACTAACATGTGTTTAGGATGTCACATCAAACCATTTGGAAGATGGTGAGTCTAGCTTGAAACTATTACGTGAACACGAAGTTCTACCCCCTGAAGTGCCCTGCGACCGGCTGTCGCGTCACTCGTGCTCACGCAGACATTTCCTGCGCTTCCGCTCCCGCAAGCCGCTCCACTGATATCAACGACCCTCACTCTGTCACGTGGTGACATCTATTTCCAAATTTACCTTATCATCAAATTAAATATAAAAGTCTATCCAGGCAGAAAGTAAGTGAAAGATGTTTGTTGACTTTTCTGCTATAGCACCATGAAGTGTGGAGGCAGCTGTCTGGAAATTTTACCTGTCCCGTAGTCTACTTTGAAGTCAAATACCACTTCCCCAAAATATTTACCAAATTTACAAACTCCTTTCCAGGTGGGATTTTCATACTTAAAGGGTTAACGCATAAATGAATCATGGTGATCCATAATTGGTTACAGGTCCAGTTCCATAAAGCTTTCGTTTAGACGAAAAATTATAAATGCAAACGATAGAGCGAGCTTCTCCTCAGCTGTCGGGAAACAAAAGCAAAAAAAATAAATAAGACAGCTCATATCAGAGGTTGGCCATTCACCACAACACGTGAAAGAATCATTAGTTTAAATCACAGCACAGCAAATCACAAAGCCGAGCAACCTTGGTAACAAAACTCCAAAAATACCTGCAGAGGAATACTTTTGTTTATGTGTTTTTCTCCGCTCTCCGAGTTGCGGTCGCTTACACTACCAACACCATCCAGCCAAAGCTATTTTGGATTCATTTTTCTGGCATCTGATTTTGAAGTGGAATATTTGATAGATTTAACCCCCCCTCTTTCGTTTCTTTAGGATCGTTAGTAAATCGTTATACGTGGATATTTAGTACCATAGATATATCGTTGGTTATCTATCAGTTTGTCTGTCTGTCTGTCGTCTATCTGTCTGTCTGTCTGTCTGTCTGTCTGTCTGTCTGTCTCTCTCTCTCTCTCTC